CCCCAAAACCCCAAAACCCCAAAACCCCAAAACCCCAAAACCCCTTATTTAATATTTGGCATTGAGAATGTCAAATGATGTTTTTAACCACTCGATTATCTTCTTGAGAAATGATATCCAAGAACAATCATAATAGATGCTAAAAATGCTAATGCAATTCCTATAATTTGCCAGACATTTGGGAATCTTGAGTAAACTACAGCTTCAATGATTGTTTGATATACTCCCACAGTTTCTATCAAAGCACTTGCAGTTCCAGCTTTACCTTTTAGGATAGCAAAGGCCATTGTGAATTGAGCAAATGCATATAGAATACTCGATGCTTGGGCAAGGCCGATCTCTTTCCAAGTAATATCAAATCCTGTATTCAATAGAACAATGAGGATGATGACACAGATGCTGTCAAGTATCCCAATAAAAAAAGCGTAAAAAGAAGAGACATTTGCTTTGTTATCTTTAAAAGCAAGGAAATACTTGACAACAATGCCAATTAAAGCTTCTAAGAAAACAGCTAAGAATAAAAACACCATAGAGAGAAGCATATAGAGTCCCTTATGACCTTCGCTGTCTGATTTTTCTGAAAATCCAATGATAACGATAGAAACAGTTGATAATAAAATACCAAGAATTTCAAAATATCTGAGTTTTTGATGGTATAAGAGTCTAAAAGCAATAGCATTGATTATCGGCTTGAGGGTACAGATTACCATGATAACTCCATTGTTTATTCCAGCTTTGTTCGCATAGAAATAACTCATTGTAAATGTATAAAACTGAATGGGAAAAACAATCACACAACCAATTGTTAGAGCCACTCTTGGATATCTAAATCTTTGGTTCTTGAAACCATGATGAGGATGCTCGAAATACAGCCTTTTAAACCAGTTGGGTCTTCCTCTACGATGATCAAATATTGAGACCATCATGAGAAGAAAACTGCACCCTAAAACACTTCCAGGCGCTTGAATTATTCTGATTCGGTATGTGAACTTTGATAGTGAGCTTACTATTGCATTTCCTGATGCAAATACTATCGCAGTCAGAATTGAGAGAGGGACCCACTAAAATTTATCATATTAAACTTGATAATCTAATTCAGCATAAGTAAATCAAAGATTACCTGCCAAGGACTGGCATACATTGCATTCTCAATTTCTGCATCTGAAGGTTCTTCCTCTTTTTCTTCAACACTCAAGCTTAATGATTGCTCTTCCTGAATCAAATGTCTTTTTAAATTTCTATGAAATTCTTAATATTCTTACTTCTTGCCTTTTTCATTGGGTTCTTTTTCTTCCATCTTATAATTATATAAATTATTAATAAATAACAATTATTGGGTTGCTTGTAGGGGTTTTGGGGTTTTGGGGTTTTGGGGTTTTGGGG